ATGTGTGTGGGATCTGAGCGCTATTCGCCAATAATATGCACTCAGATCCAGGCTATCTGGGGACATGTAATACGAATGGGAAATGTTCAGTCTTCATGTAGTTATGCATTTTTGTGTCTTTTATTATTTCATGTTTAAGATGGCGACTGTCCTTGTCCTGGAGTTAATTGAGTTACTTGGTAATTAACTCCAGGACAGAGGGGAGGGAATCAGAATGTACTGTGGGTAAAATATGTGACTGTGTGTCAGAAATGTCCTGCTATCTGTCTGTACTTTAAGTCTTCCATTTGGTCCCCTAGGGGAGTGTCCACCAGGTGGGAGACCTGCATAAATACGGGCAGGTAGCCCACAGTAAACCCAGATCTTATTTGACCCTCAATGCGGAGCTTCTGTCTCGTTATTGGGGGGATTTCTTCTTCACGTTTAGAGACTGCTGGATGGAACGAAAGCCGCTTTGGGGATATTATTGTTCGACGGTTCCTAGCAGTTCGTATATTGCCGTTCGGGAGTTTGGAGCCGTTCGTGGATTTCGATCGGGAGATTGCCGCTTCCCCTGCATTTGGTTCGTGGGTTACAGAGTAAGCGAACAGAGACTGTACTGCAGCCGGGGAAGGTTTACTAAACGGCGGTTTGGCTTAAAGACACGGGAGGTGTCTTAACAGTATTGAACACATATAAATGAACATTAGGAAAACAATTACACCACAAATGGGTGGAGATAAACATATCTAGGCAAATGCGGCTCTATTTTGACGAGAGTAGGGTGCTTCTCCTTTGTGTTTATCTGTTATTAGTGTCCGTGTTTACGTGAGTGTATGTGTTGATGTATCTCTGAGGTTAGTTTAGTTAGTGTGCCATGGTCTATGGTTTACTGTCTGCCCCCCTTGCTGGGTTTCGTTGAGTTTGCCTGTTGCTTGGTGTTGTGCTAATCTGGGGGCTCTTCTATGTAGCTTGTTCCTGTTTTGGGACTCCCTGTTTTAGTGTGTTCCCTTTTTGGGGTTGGTTTGCCCGTTCTTGTCTTTTTGCCCTTTGAGCTCGGATGGTCATATCAGTTGTTTGTTGCACTTTTGTGGGCCCTGGGTCTAGTGTTTGGCGTCGGCTGTGTGTACACTGTTAACTGGGAATGTCTTCGCTATATTGCTCTATGTTTGTTCCGGGCGTTGGGTTGGGTTATTGCTCCTGGTTGGTGCTATCTCAGTGTCTGTTGGATTAGTGTGTCTCTATGCTTTGCTATCGGTGTTGGTATTCTGTTGGGTCCCTTGTGTGGTGTTGTGTGTGGTGGTGTGTTCCCTGCCAGAGTCAGTCATGGTAGGTTGTAATGGGTCGGGGCGGTCTGACGTGCCCTTGTTAGTTGTCTGCCCTGTGGGGTCATGAAGCCTTTTACCGGGCGTGAAGTCGCCCTGTTCTATCGATAGTTTTTCCGTCCCTGCTTCCTTTTTTGTATCTGTGGGGGTCCTGGGTCCTTCTGCCTCCCCGGCCCTCGGTTTTGTGTGTCTTCCCCTGTCTGCCTTCCAGTCATCTCTGCTACTGGGTTTTGTGAGTGTCGTTAGTCTTGCTGGATTTGTCGGGGTATGGGTCTGCTGTACGTCTCCGTTGCTTGCCTATCGTCCTGTGTCGGGTGGAGATCGTCATGTGCATGGTGCTGTCTGTTATGGTGTTGGTTATAGCTGTACGCTATTATGTCGGGGGGGCCTGTATATGGCAATCACTCTGTGTGGATACATTGTATGGCTGGTAGTAGAGTATATGGCAATCACTCTGTGTGGATACATTGTATGGCTGGTAGTAGAGTATATGGCAATCACTCTGTGCGAATACATTGTATGGCTGGTAGTAAATTATATGGCAATCACTCTGTGTGGATACATTGTATGGCTGGTAGTAAAGTATATGGCAATCACTCTGTGTGGATACATTGTATGGCTGGTAGTAGAGTATATGGCAATAACTCTGTGTGGATACATTTTCTTTTACCATTTGTTTTCTTATCGGGCACTTCCTCCATATTGGCATGTTACAGCAGTGGTAACATTGCATCGTACATCGCATCCTGGTCAGACCACCTCACCAGTAAGTGTCTATGGACGAGACACCTGACGATATATACCAACCTACCACAAATCCTCATAGATAGCAAGTTGTTTAACAGGGTCTTCTCCACCTTCAAATGTTCCCTTTCTATAATTGCAAAGATCTGCCGAATATGTTGGCACTATATTATAATAATAATAATAATAATTAATAATAATTGTGAGGTCCTCCTCACCATTTTTCAGTTGAAGCTGGTGAGGTAGCCCAGTTGGTAACTTCCCTCACTACAAAACCTGTTCAAAATGCAATGTCACAGGTTCAAATTCTGGCAGGGTCAACTCAGCCTTTCATCCTTCTGAGGTTGATAAACTGAGTACCATTAATTGGGTAATAATAACATCTATTACTGCTGCCGGTTTGGTTAATTCCGACAGTGTGCACTGAAAAGCACTTTGAGTCCCACTGAGAGAAAGGCAGTTATTATTAGTTATTATTATTAACTTGTGTTGGCGCAGTTCTTGTCTGATTTGCTTGTTTTGAGTTCTCTATAAATAAGTAATAATAAAGGCAGCAATATTACATCCTCCAGAGTCATGGTATATATTAACATACATTTCTTGCATCCAGGGAGGTTTCTTTTGGGGGCAAATTATTGATGGATTAATTAAATATCTATAAAATATCTGCAAATTACACAAATATGTTAAAGTCTTCATGGACATCCGCATTCTTCCGAGTGTCTTCTGTTCATCCTAACAGACATGGGTTTTTATTCCAATTGTGAAAGATAATTCTGCAAACCAGCTGCTCAGACTGTCCTCCTTCAGTTATTGAATAGTCCCGGCTTGAGGGATGGCGATATAAAGGGGTTATTGTGTGTTCTCCCACAAGCTGCATTCAGATGGGAGATAATGAATACAAGCTCCTATAATTCCCTTACAAGAGTCAGAATACATGAGGCCGACGTGATACTCTTTGGGCACTCTTTATTGATAGGCCACGCAGCTGCTTGTCCACGCTGTGTCAAATCTTAGTTCAATAACGCTGATTATAAAACAGCTACATGGCAGACTAGGGAAAAATTCTTCCTGAACCACACTCGTTGCTTCTACAAATCATGACACAGAAACAAGAAATCTCTATAATTATATAAAACGTGAAATGCACTGGACTAATGATAGTTCCAGTCAGAGATATTGTTAATTAGAATTGTTAGACCCACAGCCTGATATTAAAAGGACACTATAGTCACCAGAACCACTACAGCTTAATGTACGGTATACAGCTTAATGTATAGTATACAGCTTAATGTACGGGATACAGCTTAATGTACGGTATACAGCTTAATGTATGGTATATAACTTATTGTACAGTATACAGCTTAATGTACGTATACAGCTTAATGTGCGGTTTACAGCTTAATATACGGTATACAGCTTAATGTATGGTATACAACTTAATATACAGTATACAGCTTAATGTATGGTATACAGCTTAATGTATGGTATACAACTTAATATACAGTATACAGCTTAATGTATGGTATACAGCTTAATATACGGTATACAGCTTAATGTACAGTAAACAGCTTAATGTACAGTATACAGCTTATTGTACATTATATAACTTAATGTACAATATACAGCTTAATATACGGGATACAGCTTAATGTATAGTATACAGCTATGTACAGTATACAGCTTAATGTACATATACAGCTTAATGTATGGTAAACAGCTTAATATACGGTATACAGCTTAATGTATAGTATACAGCTTAATGTACACTAAACAGCTTAATGTACAGTATGTAACTTAATGTACAATATACAGCTTAATGTACATATACAGCTTAATGTATAGTATACAGCTTAATGTACGGTATACAGCTTAATGTATGGTAAACAGCTTAATATACGGTATACAGCTTAATGTATAGTATACAGCTTAATGTACACTAAACAGCTTAATGTACAGTATGTAACTTAATGTACAATATACAGCTTAATGTACATATACAGCTTAATGTATAGTATACAGCTTAATGTACGGTATACAGCTTAATGTATGGTAGTATACAGCTTAATGTATAGTATACAGCTTAATGTACGGTATACAGCTTAATGTACAGTATACAGCTTAATGTACGGGATACAGCTTAATGTACAGTATACAGCTTAATGTACAGTACACAGCTTAATGTACAATATACAGCTTAATGTACGGTATACAGCTTAATGTACAGTACACAGCTTAATGTACTGTTTACAACTTAATGTAGTGGTTCTGGTGTCTATAGTCAGTCCCTTCCTACTTTTTAATGTAAACACAGTTTTTTCAGAAGAGGCAGTGTTTACATTGCTGCCTAGGAACACCTCTAGTGGTAATCACTCAGACGGCCACTAGACGTGCTTCCCCGTGTGCAGCACTGACGTTCAGCATCTCAACGCTCTGCATTGAGGCGCTAAACGTTCCATATAGAGATGTATTGGTCAGAACCCTGTGCCGCGCATGCGCTAGCCTCACAATGCTTTCCTATGAGATCATCACGTTTGTTGATTTCAGCCATTGAAAGGGAGTCAGCCGCAGTGAGACTGGCGCTACACAGGACTGGAAGAGCATCGGACAAACTGGCTCAGCATTACAAAGAACTATAGACACCCAGACCATTTCATCTCAATGACCATCTCAATGATGTGGTCTGGGTGTGGTCTTTTTAACCCTTCAATTTAACACATTGCAGTTTTTAGAAACTTCCATAGATGGGTTGAGTCCATCTCTTATTGCTGTTATATTTGCAGCCTCAAGAGGCGCTTCCGCTGCACCAACCGAGTAAAACTCCAACATATGACACAAAAGAAGATACAAAAAAGAGTACAATGCATTCCTGTGGAAAGGCTTAGCTGTGCATGTGGTGCTCACCACCCATGCCTCCACTATCAGGAGCATTCGACCACGCCAGAAGAAGCCATGCCTCCACTATCAGGAGCATTCGACCACGTCAGAAGAAGCCATGCCTCCACTATCAGGAGCATTCGACCACGTCAGAAGAAGCCATGCCTCCACTATCAGGAGCATTCGACCATGCCAGAAGAAGCCATGCCTCCACTATCAGAAGCATTCGACCACGTCAGAAGAAGCCATGCCTCCACTATCAGGAGCATTCGACCACGCCAGAAGAAGCCATGCCTCCACTATCAGGAGCATTCGACCATGCCAGAAGAAGCCATGCCTCCACTATCAGGAGCATTCGACCACGTCAGAAGAAGCCATGCCTCCTTCGTGTCATTGTGAGAAGAGGAGAGTCAAGTGGATCCCAGAGTAAAAAGTTAAGTAAATCCATTAAAAAAAATAAAATGTTATTGCAAACGGTTGGAGGCGACCTATATAGATTTTTATGTGCGTCCGTTATTTATAAATCTCTACTAGAAACATTTCAAACACAATCATTATCCATTGAGGACTGAATATAGATATGGAGTAATGAAACCTGGCAAGATTGTCCAATATTATAATTATTATTATGTTATTTATATAGCGTCATCAAATTCCGCAGCGCTTTACAATGTGTGGACGAACAGACATGTAGTTGTAACCAGACAAGTTGGACACAAAGGAACAGAGGGATTGAGGGCCCTGCTCAATGAGCTTACATGCTAGAGGGAGTGGAGTATAGTGACACAGTAACAGAGGGATTGAGGGCCCTGCTCAATGAGCTTACATGTTAGAGGGAGTGGGGTATAGTGACAGTAACAGAGGGATTGAGGCCCTGCTCAGTGAGTTTACATGTTAGAGGGAGTGGGGTATAGTGACAGTAACAGAGGGATTGAGGGCCCCTGCTCAGTGAGTTTACATGTTAGGAAGGAGGGGGGTGGCAGTGACACAGCAACAGAGGGATTGAGGGCCCTGCCTGCTCAGTGAGTTTACATACTTCAGAGTGGGGGTATAGTGACAGTAACAGAGGGATTGAGGGCCCTGCTCAGTGAGTTTACATGTTAGAGGGAGTGGGATATAGTGACACAGTAACAGAAGGATTGGGGGCCTGCTCAGTGAGTTTACATGTTAGAGGGAGTGGGGTATAGTGACACAGTAACAGAGGGATTGAGGGGCCCTGCTCAGTGAGTTTACATGTTAGAGGGAGTGGGGTATAGTGACACAGTAACAGAGGGATTGGGGGCCTGCTCAGTGAGTTTACATGTTAGAGGGAGTGGGGTATAGTGACACAGTAACAGAGGGATTGAGGCCCTGCTCAGTGAGTTTACATGTTAGAGGGAGTGGGGTATAGTGACACAGTAACAGAGGGATTGAGGGGCTGCTCAGTGAGTTTACATGTTAGAGGGAGTGGGGTATAGTGTCACAGTAACAGAGGGATTGAGGGCCCTGCTCAGTGAGTTTACATGTTAGAGGGAGTGGGGTATAGTGACACAGTAACAGAGGGATTGAGGGCTCTGCCCAGTGAGTTTACATGTTAGAGGGAGTGGGGTATAGTGACACAGTAACAGAGGGATTGAGGGCCCTGCTCAGTGAGTTTACATGTTAGAGGGAGTGGGGTGAAGTGACACAGTAACAGAGGGATTGAGGGCCCTGCTCAGTGAGTTTATGCTAGAGGGGAGTGGGGTATAGTAACAATAACAGGAGTTGGTCCTGCTCAGTGAGTTTACATGTTAGAGAGTGGGAGTATAGTGGCAGTAACAAGAGGATTGAGGGGCCTACTCAGTGAGTTTACATGCTAGGGAGTGAGGTATATTGACACAGTAACAGAGTGATTGAGGGCCTGCTCAGTGAGTTTACATGTTAGAGGGAGTGGGGTATAGTGACAGTAACAGAGGGATTGAGGGCACTGCTTAGTGAGCTTACATGTTAGAGGGAGTGGGGTATAGTGACACAGTAACAGAGGGATTGAGGGCCCTGCTCAGTGAGTTTACATGTTAGAGGGAGTGGGGGATAGTGACACAGTAACAGAGGGATTGAGACCCTGCTCAGTGAGGTTAAATGTTAGAGGGAGTGGGGTATAGTGACAGTAACAGAGGTTTTGAGGCCCTGCTCAGTGAGTTTACATGTTAGAGGGAGTGGGTATGGTGACTTGGTAAAGAGGATTGGGGGCCTGCTCAGTGAGTTTACATGTTGGGAGGGTGGGATAGTGACACAGTAACCTTGGGGATTGAGGGGCCTGCTCCAGTGAGGGTTTACATGCTACAGAGGGTGGTGTGACACAGTAACAGAGGGATTGAGGGCCCTGCTCAGTGAGTTTACATGCTAGATGGAGTGGGGAGTATGAGCATTGTAGAGGGATTGAGGGGGCCCTGCTCAGTGAGTTTACATGTTAGAGGGAGTGGGGTATAGTGACACAGTAACAGAGGGATTGAGGGTCCTGCTCAGTGAGTTTACATGCTAGAGGGAGTGGGGTATAGTGACACAGTAACAGAGGGATTGAGGGCCTGCTCAGTGAGTTTACATGCTAGAGGGAGTGGAGTATAGTGACACAGTAACAGAGGGATTGATGGCCTGCTCAGTGAGTTTACATGTTAGAGGGAGTGGGGTATAGTGACACAGTAACAGAGGGATTGAGGGCCCAGCTCAGTGAGTTTACATGTTAGAGGGAGTGAGGTATAGTGACAGTAACAGAGGGATTGAGGCCCTGCTCAGTGAGTTTACATGTTAGAGGGAGTGGGGTATAGTGACACAGTAACAGAGGGATTGAGGGCCTGCTCAGTGAGCTTAAATGCTAGAGGGAGTGGGGGTATAGTGACACAGTAACAGAGGGATTGAGGGCCCTGCTCAGTGAGTTTACATGTTAGAGGGAGTGGGGTATAGTGACACAGTAACAGAGGGATTGAGGGCCTGCTCAGTGAGTTTACATGTTAGAGGGAGTGGGGTATAGCGACACAGTAACAGAGGGGTTGAGGGCCTGCTCAGTGAGTTTACATGTTAGAGGGAGTGGGGTATAGTGACACAGTAACAGAGGGATTGAGGGCCTGCTCACTGAGCTTACATGCTAGAGGGAGTGGGGTAAAATGACACAAAAGGTATTATTATATTCTGCAGACACACTAGATGAACACTACTTGAAGAGCATGTACTCCTCGTCTAGACTGTAAGCTCGTTCGAACAGGGTCATCATCAACCTATTGATCCTGTAATATTTTGTAGTTGTCTCATTAATTTTTAAATTTCCCCTTTCCATAATATTGTAAAGCGCTGCGGAATAAATTGGTGATTTATAATTTCCAAGAATAATAATGTAAATAATAATAAAGGCCATAAATGAGATATATCAGATAACAGTCCCTGACTCCCCACCTGAGAGCTACGAAACATGTAGAAATGCTACTAAAGTCAGTTATATAAAGCTTAGATATTGCCAAGAGTCAGCATTCTAATTCAGCCTTAGATCATTGCTCTCAGTAAAAACCTCTGTAGATCGCCTGCATTCAATTCCTTGGGGTAGAATGAGAATCTTTCTGGCTGAACACACAACAAATGAGTCACTAAATGACGATTGATTGCATCCTCACAGACACACAACGTTTGTTTACATAAAAAGGGAAATGTTGTTAACCAGATGCCTATCAGCTGAAATGCCATCACTCCTTGTCATGATTGTCCGTTTCTTGTAGTTATTTCATTTACATCTTGTGCGTATTGTCAGGTAATTAGCGGATTTCTTGTACGTTATCACTTTCTACGATGTCACAATTTGTTGACGTAAACTGGGAATCGTTGGAAGTTCACCAGGCCATTGTAAAATATAAAATTGGAAAATGTGTCCAAATCAGTCTTGGTTCCAGCCTAACTATAGTAACTGAAAACTTTCATAAAAAGGAAATTGGTGAATTATTCACAGTGAAGTGAATACGCCTGATTTTTTCAAATTGTAAAGCAAGACACCAGGCATTTCGGCCTCGGTTGCAAGAATGCATGTTAGAGGGTTTCAAGCTAAAATAATGTGACCCTCCAAAAGGGCCAGTTACATGATTTTGAGCAGAAAATTCAAAGTCCTAGCAGAACACTAGCTTAATGCTCCCCTGTACACCCCGTGCTCAGGACTTAACTAAATAAAAATTTCAGTTAGGATTTATTTACAAAAAATAAACCCATAAGTACATGTACATAAATAGAGCTGTTTACTGAGTTTTGTTCTTGAAAAATAATGATTGAGAACCTCAATGAATAAAGAAAACTGCAGGAAATCCATGAACTGCAGAGAAATACAGTTGTAATCAAAATTATTCAACACAATGAATGCTTCTAGTGGTTTCCACAAATTCAACTGAAATAACAACTTCTCCAGTGTCCAAATTATTTATTATTTATTTATAAAATATTTTACCAGGAAAGATACATTGAGATTTCTCTCGTTTTCAAGTATGTCCTGGGTCCACAAATCATTGCATTGTTACATTAGGGTACAATAAAATACAAAAACAATATTAATACACAATATATACAAAATTGAACATAAAACAGGTAGGAAATATATAACCAACCATTGCAGGTGCATTCTGTTTTGAGGTATGTAGAGAGGGATCTCTTAAAGGACTTTAGGCTTGGGGAAGATTTGAAAGTGTGCGGGAGGTCGTTCCATAATTGCGGCGCTCTGTAGGAGAAGGAGGATCGGGCCGCTTTCTTTTTGTATTGAGGTAGACTAAATAAAGTGTTGGTACTGGATCGGAGGTTATAGGAGGTGGGAACAGCCGGGGAGAGCATTCTGCTCAGGTAGGGTGGGAGCTTCCCAGAAAAGCTCTTAAACACAAGGCTGGAAAGATGAAAGGTGCGTCTGGATTCCAGCGACAGCCAGTTTAATTCCTTTAGCATTTCACAATGGTGGGTCCTGTAATTACATTGTAGCACAAATCAGCAGAACGAGTTATACAATGTGTTGAGTTTATTAAGGTGGGTTTGCGGAGCAGGTGCATATACTACATCCCCATAATCAATGATTGGCATCAGCATTTCCTTTACTGTAGGGCTTAGGCAGGATTTGCCCCTTCATTGCAAGCATCTTTAGTACTTAGTAGAGCACCATTTCTTGTTATGACCTGCTGTAAATGAGATGCTGAACCAGACACCAGCTTCTGGCAGCGTTCCTGAGAAATCTTAGCCCATTGCTCAGATTATAACTGTTTGTCATTTTCTGTATTCGGCACGTCACCTTGCACTGATGAAACATGCAGGAGCCTGAAGCACGTATTGATTATGGGATAAAGATTCCGAGGAGTAAAGTTTATGGAAGCTATTTAACATATTTAACAGAATAGAAGCAGCAGTTAAGTGCCAGCGGTAATCCCCAGGAGATGTAAAATACAATATACCTCTCCCACAGACACCCAATGCCAACATTCACACACCCCTCATAGTTGCATATCTGTAAAGATCTGAAGTGCCAGGATGCATCCGAGTCCATTGTTTCACTTTCAGTTTGGATATTCTTTCCAGATATGATGGAAATTGAAAGTTGTTCATTTGAGCACAAGCCTAGACATGTCCTCGTTCTACCCATTGATTTCTGTAACAGAGTGCGCCCTGTCTGCTGGTTTAGTACGTTTTCAGAAGCCATGAAATCTCTTTATACTTTCTATTCTCTGTTTAGAATACAAGCTTGTTCTATTTACTTTTGAACTATCTTAGGAAACATCTGTAGTGCAAATGTACAGTCTGCCTGTCCAGCGTTTTCTTTCTGTGGTCTGGAAAACGGTCCATAGAAATGTTACCATCTGCTCCTATAACACCGAGTTCAAAGGAGCTGTTTGGGTCAGGTTAGGGTCATACCGTCTGTGTGAATTCCTTTTTTAAATTTGTCTCTGGATTAAGACCCAAACTCAGAAAAGCTCAGCGTATTATTTGTGCTGATTTTTTACCGTTGAGTTGAAACTTGGCTCATCCTTGGAAGAACTTGACAACTACAACACTACAAATTTACAATTCACAGCCAGAGGATTTGCTGGGCAGAGAGGTTAATGGCATCGGAGAGGACTTTACGCTCTGTAGAAATTCAGTCGATCTCTTGGCTGAACAGGATCCTCATGGCTTAGCTGAGTGCAGGAGGAGCTGCTCATTAATTCAACATTATAAATAGCTTTGTGATTCTAGTAAAATCTTCAATATTTATGGATAGATTTTAATAAAACTTTTCAAAAATGAAGATGAAGAAAATTGAGTAAAGCAAGAGTTAGGGAATAGATTCCGCAGCGATATGAAAAAATCCTGAGAATGTAATTGCTCATTCTTTTAATTTGGTCTCTGGTTCATGGTAGAAATAAACCTGAATAAAGTTTACAGCATAGCTCCAATAAATATCTCTATAACATGACCTGTTAACTTAACCTGTACTATGGCTGGATAAACCTGTTGGATAATCGAGATGGGCAAAAATCGGAAAATATGAGAAAAATAAACTTTCGTTTTGCTTTCAAATCTCACTTCTTACCCAGGCTTTAATTTAATTACATAACCCGTAAACAATATTTTTTCTGCCAATGCAAATTCAGTTTACGTTTGGCACTCAATGTTTTGTGCAACTTAATAGATTTATGGGGACCCATTTTTGGGGGTTAAGAAAAGAAGATTTAAGAAGAAAGAAGACATCTGATGGTAAGTATATTTTTTGCAGTGATCTTGTTTATTGGGCACATTCTCACTGGTATTAGGAGAGGGAAGAAGAGATATTTTTCATCGGGGAGTAGCTAGGTGCTTGGGGATTCCTAGCCACCAGGGAAAAAGCTTTGTCAAATTCTGGTGTAAGGGGTTGGACAATTGCTGCTCACCCTCCACCTATATTTAATAAGGAGCCCCCCATCTGCCACCAATGGATGGGGTCCCGCCCCAGTTTATTCATTAAATTATACCCCCTGCCACTCATGGGTGGGGGCTGGTTGGGACTATAAACCCCATGTTTATTTCAACTAGAGCCCACACCCGCAGACCACTAGAGGGTTCTGGAGTGACACTAAGTTCTCCTGGTTTATTATTTCTAGTGAAGCTTGTGACGAGACCAATCTCGCCACATTGCATTGGAGGAGCCTGGTTGCCTGCCTGCTGCCGTTGGATTATGGCCTGACAGTTAAACAGTTCATTTTACTGTGCAGAAAGGTTTATTCATGCCTTTCTGCACAGCCGTTCGGTAGATTCTATCTACCAAACAAACAGCCATCTATTAGCCTCCCAGGAGCTGGCAGGCGCTGTTAATTGGCTGCCAAGAAGCAGGCGTGCGCCGCCAGTCTACCCCCCAGAAGCCGCGGTTAACCGTGGCTTAACGAGCGTGTTCAGTCAATTGACCACCCAGTAGCTGCGGTTAACCGCAGCTTAATTGACTGTTACTGGGTGGCCACAGTTACACTTAGCGGCCGCTAGGTGGCGGTGTTATGGAGCTCCCCGGACGGTCAGCAGTGCCCAACCCGGAATCAGTGCACTAAAAACGGACACTTTTACATGCAGGCACCGCTGAGACTCCAGCCTTCCCTGCTTCTATTCGTGGCTGTTTAGCCGAACGCTGGATTGATTGGGACTTTGTTTTATGTGAATGCTTTAACCCAGATAGCTATGCCATGGAGCCTATTCGTGTAATTAAAGACTTTGGCTCCATGGCAATTGAACTGTGTGTATAGGATCTGAGCGCTATTCGGTACAATTGTGCGCTCAGATCCCAGCTATCTTGGGATGGGTTACATGTATATATTTTATGTGATAAATGTAACATTATGTATTTTATTGTATTTTAGTGTTTTATTATAACCACGTGTGTAATGGCGATTTGCCTCTGTCCTGGGAGATAATTGGATTACTTTCCATTTATCTCCAGGATAGAGGGGAGGGAATTAGGATGCATTGTGGGGATGTTTTACTTCTGTGTGTCTGTCATTGGTGCATGTCTGTCCCTTGTCACAGTCTCCCATCTGGTCCCCTAGGGGAGTGTCCACCAGGTGGGAGACCTGCATAAATACTGGGCAGGTAGCACTGTATGCTGTTAGAGACTGATTGCCAGGAGCTTGGGTGCTTTTCCTATTATTCTTGAGGTTCCAGTTCGGGAGTTTGGAGTGCTACTGTGTATGCAGTTCGGGAGTTTGGAGCATTCCCTTGTATGCAGTTCGGGAAATTGGAGCATTCCCCTGTATGCAGTTCGGTGTTCTGCAGTAGCTGTGCCTGTGTCTCTGGAAGGGAAGATCTACTAAACGGCGGTTTAACCCTTTTATGCCTGGGGGTGCTGTTACAGAGCATCTATATCCCAGCTGGATATCGCCACTGGAATCCTTTCTTAGCTCGAAGTAGCACTGTTTAGTGAATATAGCCCTTTTGTTCAGTAATTAAATGACACATGATTCTGGAAGTATGACTGATTTTATTGGAAAAATGCACTCTTTTATACAAGGACTCCCAGCATGGGGTCTCCATACAAAGCATGATCCTGTCCTGATGTGTCTGTGTCTGGGAAAATATTACTGTAGTCCTCGCTTAAATCAATTATATCCCAGACACAGAGATCCTAACATGAAATAACCTCCAAAACACAAAAAAATAGGCAGGAACCCCCACATGTGATACATCCCCGGATATCTCTGAAATGATCGCCCATGTTGGCAACATAGCACTTGGATCCATTAAGAATTGGCAAATCGCCATCGGGGGGAAGATTTGACAATCTGCAATCAAAGTCTACGCCGAACAGAGTTTCATGTCAATTGTCTCTTTTGATGGACAAATATTGGGAGTTCCTGCAGACTGAAAGGAAAGAGTTCTCCTGGCTTTCCGGGAAGTGGGGGAAAGCAGAGGTGAAAGTAGACCGGCCAATGTTGGTGACCACAGCCGAGCCAAAGTTCCAGAGAAATAAGACTAATACTCACTACAGTCCTCGCGGTTTTCTCCAGGTCTCTGGAACCATCTGCCAGTACTGGGAAGAGGCGCTCTCTGGTGTAAGACATGGGGGAATAGGTGGTAAAAGTCAGGGATAGTTATAACGTCTTTTGTGGAAGATTTGGGAGATAGAATCATAGTCTGCCACATTTTTTAATTAACTTTTTGCTCCCACAGTCATTAGAATGTGCCTCAATTGTTTGAATGTTATAGCCCCCACCCACTCTTTACAGGTGTGAGCTGAAAGACATCAAATTCAACGAAAATTAACAGACTATTTTGTGTTTCTTGAAAACCCTCACAAATTCTTTGCTGCAACATTATTCAATGTGAGCTTGTTCTTTGAATCGGATTTTCCACATTCAGATCAATCAGGTGTTGCCCTTTCGGGTCATTAATATGAAACATCTCTACACAATAAGGACAAACTAACTCTGTTTTGTGAGGCTAGTCACAAGCAGATCACAAGGCTGGAAAGGGGTATGCAATGATAACTTTAGCTATAATCAGGCAGAGAGCATTGGAATCAAATCATTAACATTACCATAATTTACAGTGTAAAGTGCTCGTTCAACTACAGTCACTTCAAGAGCGGATATAGAATACTCCAGGAAGCCATTAAAATCCCAGTATAATGACTGTGTGCTCGTTTATAACCTTGTTTGTAAATTGCTGCCATAAGCTGCCGCTACTTAGTATCGGGTACCCCACGAACCAGATGTCTGCCAATAACATCTGCTCTCCGTTTAGCCACTCACTGGTAGACACACACTGTTCAAGGTGTCACACTTTACCGTTAAAAAAGGCTGACTGTGAGCATGCGTCCCTCACCCTGTGATTGGTCGACACTGTATATAATGCATTAAAATGGGATTGCGTGTCTGATACAGATCTATGGAATCCTTGTAGTTGTTTTCTATTTTGTGAATTGTCCATTTCAGTAACACTATGCACTTTACTTATATAAATAATTATCTCATTTTTTACATTATATATCAGCCTTTCTATTTACTGTATGGGCTCTTGATTTGATATGGGTTTTAAAGTTTCAAGGAAATGACACATAGATAACAGGTATTTTCCTGTAAGATGCACGGGGAGTTAGTGTGACAGAACCATCTGTCTGTTTATTGCAGGTGTATTCGTCTGTTTCTATCCTGTTCGTGTAAATGGCTGTTTTCTATAGCCCAGCCATACAAATGACTGTTTTTTCCCGAACAAACCTGCCAAACGGACGGCCACCCAGGAGAGAAGTGTGCTGCTGGCAGGGCTGCCATCAGAAATTGTGGGGCCCCTGACACAGCTCAAGGTCTGGGCCCCCCGGTGCCTGCACCCGAGTCCGCCCAAAGTGCTGCAGCCCCCACACCCCCCCCTCCGAGTCCGCCCACAGGAATGCAGTGTCTGCAGGGCCGGTGCAAGGATTTTTGCCGCCCTAGGCAAAAGTTAAGTTTGCCGCCCCCCCATGTGACATCACAATGCCCCACCCATATGATCTGCCATGTTAACTAACACCAGTGCTGCAGTGCCGCCGTGTTTACATTAAAAGGCTTGCAGGGACAGGCTAGACACCAGAACCACTAAATTAAGCTGTAGTGGTTCTGGGGACTATAGTGTCCCTTTAATGTGAGGTAAATTAGAGATTAGTGCCACAAATAATAAACTAGATTGCCTACTTACAACCATATGAGGATAATGATGGGCTCTAGCTCCCGTCTGGCTCCACTAGTCTGGTGTAGAACAGGCTCTCTGGAGGCGGTTTGTAACTGTGGTCACAAAAATCAATGTTCTGGGATCAACGGGAAGCAGCTCCATTTTTTTGAGGGCCCTTTACACAGCTCAACGTCTGGGTCCCAGGATCCACCTTCATGTTCCACCAATGAGTTTGTTCACAGGGGGTGGAGTGTGTGTGTAAGGAATGCATTGTGTGTGTATGTCCTGATGTGTGTAAGGAATGCATTGTGTGAATCTGTGTTTGTATGTGTAAGGGCTGCAAGGTGAGTTTGTGTATGTATGGGATGCAGTGTGTGCGTCTGTAAGGGATGCATTGAGTGTGTGTAAGGGGTGCATTGTGTGTTGCTGTGTGTAAGGGATGCATTGCTTGTGTATGTGTGTCTGTGTGTAATGCATTGTTTGTTTTTCTGTGTGCAAGGGGTGCATTGTGTGTGTGTGTGTGTGATGTATGTCAATCTCTCCCCCTCCCCCCTATCAATTTCCTTCTCCCCCTCCCTCCCTCCAATTTCCTTCTTCTCCCCCTCCCTCTCCAATTTCCTTCTTCTCCCCCCTCTCCAATTTCCTTCTTCTCCCCCACCTTCCAACTTCCTTCTTCTCCCACTCCCTCCAACTTCTTCTCCCCCCTCCAATTTCCTTCTTCTCCCCCCAACTTCCTTCTTCTCCCCCCCAACAACTTCCTTTTTCTCCCCCTCCCTCTCCAATGTCCTTCTCCCCTTCCCTCTCATTGCCTTCTCCCCCTCAATTTCCTTCCTTCTCTCCCCAATCTTCCTCCTTCTTCTCCCCCCCTCCAACTTACGTCTCCCCCCTCCAACACAGGAGGCAGATAGACAATCGACAGGTTCGTTAAAAAGGGACACCGGATGAGTTAGTTACCTGTCCTTCTCCCCCTCCACTTCCTTCTTCTCCCCCTCCCTCTCATTGCCTTCTCCCCCCCTCCAATTTCCTTCCTCCCCCCTCCAATTTCCTTTCTCTCCCCCTCCCTCATTCCTTCCTCCTCTCCCTCAAATTTCCTTCCTCTCCCTCAAAATTTCCTTCCTCCCCCCCCTTAAATTTTCTTCCTCCCCCCCTCAAATTTCCTTCCTCCCCTACCTTAAATTTCTTTCCTCGCCCTCCCTCAAATTTCCCCCCCTCCCTTCCTTAAATTTCTTTCCTCCCCCTCCCTCCCTTCCTTAAATTTATTTCCCTCCCCCCCTCCCTCCCTTAAATTTCCTCCCCCCTCCCCTTAAATTCCCCCTCAAATTTCCTCCTCCCTTAAATTTCTTTCCTCCCCCTCCCTCAAATTTCCCCCCCACCTCCCTCAGACATTTCTTTCTCTCCTCTGAGTGCTTCCTCGCGTGCCGGCCGGCTGTTAGGGCCAGCCTCTGGGGGGCCCTGAGGTGACCGGCTGCTGGGCCCCCCAGGAGAAGAGGCTGGCCCAGTGGGTACATACCGGGGTGACCCGGTATGTACCCACTGAATGGGGGGCCCGGACGACCTTAGCAGTCCGGGCCCCCCAGGACTGCCGGGCCCATGACAACCGTTGCGGTTGTCATGCCCTGATGGCGGCCCTGAACTGCTCTATGTAACAGCGTAGGTGGTATAATCCCCACCTAGGATTCTTTGGAGTATTATATCCAGGAAATAAAAATAATAAAAGAAGTATACAGTATAAAACATTAATAAAAGCCAGGTAGTAGTAAAAGATGATGGTTTCAACGTAAAAAATGATCAAAATCTTTTTATTAACAGTATATAAAAACAGTAAAAGTATCCAAACGTGTTTCGCCAGTATAAGGCTTTATCAATGGATAGCAAACCTCCAACGTGTTAACCTGGGTGGCTTCCAACCATCCATTTGCAGCTCGCTGTAGCCGGTGTGCCCACTCTACATGGGAGTCTTTCGTTGGCTTTTTAATGTCCCGAACTTTAGGCAGTATGCCTCTGAGGTGATCGCATACCGGGCTAAAATCGCTTGTTTTTCTTTGTCCTAGTCTCTACTGTCCTCATCCGGCACAGCCTGGTACGCCTCTGCAGCGCGACCAGATAGTCTCTGTAACGGACCGTTTCAGCACACAAGGTGTTAAAATCGTTTAGGCGATCGTCCCCTTTCAGAGATGCAGGCACAGCTACTGCAGAACACCAAACTCCCGAACAGGATACCAAGTAGCATTCCAAATTCCAGAACTGGAACCTCACGAATAGCTGCTAGCAGCTGAACAGGAAAAGCACCCAAGCAGCTTACACTCCTGGCAATCAGTCTCTAACAGCATACAGTAAATCCCCCCAAGAACCAGACAAAGCTCCGTGTTGAGGGTCAAGCAGTGAACAGACAGAGCTGTGGGTTTATTGTGCTTATGTACACATTCTTACACATTAGTACCACCCACAGGGTTTTGGAACACAACCAATAAACACATACAATACACTCAGACACTCCCACACAAATTCCTCCCCTCTGCATGTGATTAAATTACCTTACACAATGGGTAATGTAATTTAGAACAAGCGAGAAATACAATTTTTCCACATTATTCATAACTTGAAAAGTATGCATCACATTCACGTTACATTTTCAGAATCAGCATACTCCAAATACAAACATACGTCAAAATCATACAAATTGGTCCAGTGGTTCAAAAGATAGATCGTAGTCCTTTGTGACCACAGGAAGCATGGCTTTTCTGCCCAAAACCAGTTCCACAGAGTCTTCTATCCTGGAGATAATTAGAAGTAATCCAATTATCTCCAAAGACAGAGGCAAAACTCCATTGAACACATGGCAGCAAAAAGACAGTAAAATACAATAAAATACATAGGTTACATTTACATAAAATACAGACATGCAACATATGCCCAGATAGCTTAGGTCTAAGCGCACATTATTACTGAATGGCGCTCAGAGCACACACATACAGTTCAATTGCCATGGAGCCAAAGTCTTTCCCATAGTCTTTCATTATACGAATGGGCTCCATGGCATAGCTATCTGGGGTATCACTGCTCAAACAGGGCAAGCACCAAATGACCCGGCTTTCTTGTCTTTGCAGGGTAAAATAAAGTCTTTTAACATGGGGCCATAGTCCAAAGGCAGCAGGCGAGCAACCAGGCTTCTCCAATGCAATGTGGCGAGATTGGTCTCGTCACAGTCTCCCTGCTAGTAGAGGTACCCGATCCGCCTCGCTGATGTCGTGTAGTTGACACAGCCTCTCAAAATCCTGCAGGTAGTCATCTACACCACCGTCAGCCTCTGAATAGCTTTTGAAGGCTTGGTAGGGAATTTTGGCTTTTCCTGGGAAAGTGTTGACCGGTGTCGTGGCTCTTTCTCCGGCTTGCTGGTTTCTCTGCGCCCCTCTGAGCATGATGTATTCCTGCACATCTGCGAAGAGCCTGCCAATCATCTCTTCAGATGGTGGGTTTGGGAATAAAGCCATCCTGCTCCTGAATTCTTTTGCAAATTCATGTTGTTCTTCCTCCATTGGAGGTGCTGCAGCAGCTGCTGCTCTGTCTCCTTCCATCAGTTCTGTAATCAAGATAGCCTTCGCCTTGTTGCTGGTTATTGCTCCTCTTGCTTCAAGTAAGTCTTTTAATGTGCTTCATTTCAAAAGGGCATAATTCATTCCCATTCACCGGCCGTTCGCGGGTTTCCACGTGTGGGTTAACTCCCAAATTGCTGCTCTTTTCTCCTCTATTCGTTTTAATTTCTGCCGACCGTTGCTTTGCTGTTTGTTTCAATCCCACCGCTGCCACCAATTGTAGCGGAGAGGTAGTATAATCCACAGTATCTCCACTGGGTAACAGGAAAAGCATAAAATAATCCAAGGAAATAAATACAGCATACAATAATCCCGGTAGCGTTGTAAGAATCCTCCCCTCCTAAGAACTAGACGACACATAGGCTGGGAGTCAACTGAGCTTTTAATCACAGGTCACTGTATAGATCGGATTCCCCATGCAAGGGGTTTCCCTACTGACATTCCAGGGGTGGTACAGTAGGGGACTACATGGGGAACTGCACAACCCGGATATTTCTCCCACCATGCACTGCTGCACGAGAGGGATACTCCCACTACAATATACAGTTAAGTGGATTATCCCTCCGTGCAGCAGAACTGACATTTTACATTAAAATGCATAACTTCCATAATATTCCCTTTATTTAAACGAATGG